AAAACCTGGGAGATTTATACGGCAGGAATAGCATCTGCAGTGACACCTGCTAAGACAGGGGCTCCGGATCCTCATGCTTCAGGGCACCAGACCAGCTGGGGTCAGGAGGGAATCCCCTCTCCCACGATATAGCACAGTCTGATGCCTGCTGGGGCCTGTAACTTCTATTGAAGCAACATGCACTGGCCACTGTTAGGCAAATCCCATAGACGATACCCTCTGGGCTGAACGGCGCAGGCCTGTGGACAGAGCTTATAACTGCTGAGACAGGACCTCAAGAACCACACTGTGGAGGCCCAAAGCTCACCTGAAGGGCCAGCAGGTGGGTCAAGGGCACCCACCTGCTGCCCCTCCCTAGCACTGCCTAGTGGCCAGTTTGGAGCTGCACTGAGATCTCCGGGTGAAAAGCGTCTCCTTCTGGGGCCAGCGGCACAATCCTGGGATCAGCGAGGGGCTAGAGGGGAGGGCATGGCAACCTGGGGAGGGGGAAATTCCTCTCAATTCATTGGGATCAGCCCTGGTTCCTGCGTGCCTTCGCCCACAAAGCAAGAGCTTCTTGGGGAATTCCCAGCACGGGGCAGGGCAGGACCCTCCCCGATTCTAAGCAGCACTGGGGATAAACGGGGGTGGGAACTGGGGGCTCAGGAGACAAACTGAATAGGCCACAGACACTGAGCCCCTTCTGCCCCCCCAGGCTTGGTTCCTCTGAGCCAGGGGCAAGGAGACACTTTGGTTGGGTTGTGGGGGACGGGGGAGCATGCCCCACACTCTGTCCTTCCTGGGGATAACTAGTGGGTTTCATTTCCCAGGGCTCTCAATCCTGCCCCTTTCGCCAGCGTGAAACCCACAGGGAGCCCAGTCCTGCAAGGTGCGGAGCGCCCGGATACACTCCTGTTCAATTGAGTGGGAGCTCAGCACCGCTCAGGGCCGGACAAACTTACAAATAAGGATGCAAGGAGGTAATTAAAGATCTAAGCGGCTCATTCCCCATGCCTGGTGATTTACATTCGCTGCTCCCATTAATAGCAGGGTGGGTGGGTTTAAATCAAAGTGATTTAAATCACCCGTTTTAACCCTGATTTAAATCAGCAGGCAGGAAACCTTGGTTTCTATTGAGCTTTGCATCTGTGCTTTTTAGCTCTTTTCCTAAAACCAGGTTTATTCATTGGTTGGTAACCATTAAAACACGCCGATCTTAACGAAATAGAGCGTTTACACTGAAAATGGTGCTTCTTTTTGCACACCGGGAGGATACCACATATCTATCTAGATTTGTTTAAGCAGTTATAAAACTCAACTTACAGTGATTTAGAGTCTTTTTTTTTTAAGTCAGTTTTTATCCACCCTGATTAACAGGCCAGAGGCAGGGCACGGCCGGGGCTCGCAGTAGAGTCTGTGGTGGAAGGGAAGTGGCTTCTTCCCAAGCCATGTGTCTGGCTCACTCATCTCTTTTCTTTCTGTTAGGAAGCAGATTCAGAGGCATGTATCTACATAAGAACATAAGAACGGCCGTACTGGGTCAGACCAAAGGTCCATCTAGCCCAGTATCCTGTCTACCAACAGTGGCCAATGCCAGGTGTCCCAGAGGGAATGAACAGAACAGGGAATCAAGTGATCCATCCCCTGTCGCCCATTCCCAGCTTCTGACAAACAGAGGCTCGGGACACCATCCCTGCCCAGCCTGGCTATCTGTTCTTTGAACTGGTTAGATGGTGGTTGATGTCCCCTCCACCAAAGAGAAGAAAAGCCCTGTAGATAACAGGACTGAAAGGAATGCAACCAGAAGCTGGGGTGCCCAGGCTTGCATCAAATGTCACTGTTTAGAAAGGTCTGTATATTTCCGTGTATAAATACAAAGTTTCTGTGCTCTTTTCTCTGGTAGGGTCCACATGGCTCACGTAACCCTACAATAACAAAAGGGCCTGGCTAAGCTAACCCTACAGTAACAAAA